TTGATCTCTAGTCAGTCTATCAAGATGTTCTTCTAGATGCTAGACAGGTAGACCCACCCTTCCTTCCTTCCTTTCTTCCTTCCTTCCTTCCTTCCATCCCTCTGCCCCCAGGCATCCCACAAGGTTATCCATTTTCATTCATTTTCATTCGTTCTCCCTTGTTTCTCACCATCTTCCCCTTGTTCCTCTGTGCCTCTTTTTCCCCTCTCTACCTGCTTATACACACACACACACATACACACACACACACAGAGTTGGGTTCATTTGTCTCTATTGAGGGGTGTCTTCAGAGAGACCACTGAGGATGCACCAAAATAGATCAGCTATTTTATACTGAGAGAGAGAGCCCATATACACTCACTTACATCAGACTTGTGCTTTTCCTCCCTAAGGTGTACCCATATTCCACCAAGAAACACACACATACACATTTATCATCTGAAACCTGGCCATGTAAAGTCGTGTCTGCAGGTTCATTCTTCAAGCCAAGAGAGAAATCCGGTGTCGGAGAGACGCAGAACGTCTGTGTTTGTGAACACAAGCTTATTAACATGGGATAATCTCTGTGTCTGGTTCTACACACACACAACTAGAGTGGCATTTTTGGGAAGAAAGTATGTCCAAAAGTAGGTCTAAGAAATGATGAAAACACTTTTCATAACATGTGGGCAAATTTCCGGCGTTCCGGCAGCTGTCAATAAAATATCCAGTAAGCTCGGTGAAAAACCTCAGTCTCTGTGGCAGCTCAGGCACCGTAAATGGAAGAAAAAACAAATTATGTGAACTTTCAGCATGCTGCCAATGAAGACGTTTCAGAACACGCTCATTAGACACTCATTCAAGTGTAGTTAGCACAAGCATTTTTAGTTTCTAAGGTCTTTGAAAGTTTAAGAAAAAATAGTATTGATAATAAAAATAATAATATATCCTTAAAAATCCTTAAAAACTGTATAAACCATATTTTGTCTCTCCCTCTCTTGTCTCTCTCTCTCTCTCTCTTTCTCTTTCTCTAGGGATAGTTTGGATAGAGGCATATTATAAAACACTTTCCAGGAAAGTGCTCTTATCGTCTGTTTTAAAGTGCTGAAGCCTGGGTCATGGTCATGTGATAGCATGTAGTGCTTCCTAGGGCTGCCTGGAACAAGCTGTTAATGCTATCTAAATAAATTAACCCCTTTTTGCCTCTGCACTGCCCTGAGACCATGTGACCTGTGTTCCATCCCCCTCCCAACCCCTCCAACTGTTTAATCATTAACACCAGCTTAGAAAAACATAGCACGGCATACACACTCCTTTGTCACTTAACATCTCACAGTCTTTTATCCCAGCCAGTTTTATCCATCCACCAAAAGTTGTTTTCCGTGCAAGAAAGATTAGAAAGATTAAAGAGATCGAATGAATCAGAAGTTGCCAGGTATTGTTAGATTTCAAAACAATTCTTGAGCAATTGTTAGTTCCATGCTAGACATTCTCGGTCATCTCAGACTCTGATCTACGCTTTGATACGACATTCCTCCTCAAATTTTATATCTCCTGTGAAGTTGAACATCACGGCACAATAGAAAGCGTTGACAAAGGCGGAAAAGGTTCTTGTGGTTGAGGGAGGCCAATTTGACCTTCTCCAGAGCCTCCTTCCTGCTGAGCCCCTGCCTTTTTTTTCCTTTTCTTTTTTTTCTCCCCTTCCTTTTTGTCTGTCACTGTCATTATGGCGCCTTTCAAAACTTTCTTTTGAAGTGCATAGGAAATAGGGCCTTACCCATACATGGGAAAAAGGTGCGGAGATTTCAGTAGTGTATCATTAGCATAGATTTGAGAGACAAAATGTGAAGGGAAGTAATAAACAGTGTATAATATTAGGTGTTTAAATGCTTTGTGAGGATTAGCCTGCTTTTGTCTCATTTTTGGAGTCTGGACATCATACAATTCTGTATATATAAACCATATAAATGCAGATATACATACACATATATTAACTGCTTTCATATCTTACAGCTTCAGCAGCACTTTGATTGCACATTTGGGGTAGTAAATCACAATACTTCAAGTAATCTTGTATCATAGTATCACTTCTTTTATCATGGTGTGTAACATGACGGGGCATGCTGTTATCAGAAAACAATCAACAAAGTATTAGTGTGATATCGTTACCAACCCAACGTTATTTTTCTCAGTGTTTTATTCCTCTTAAACCACAGAAATTTGTCAATAGTAAAAAAAAAAAAAAAGAACTATAGAACAACACATCGTACTTTTTATCCATTTATAGTTGCATTAAATGTTGTGGAACTACCATGAAACAAGTTAGTTCCTGTTATCACTTCCTCACAGCAGCTCTGAACTATAAAGTCATTCCCTCACCAGGCTCTTTGTTTTTCTCTCTACTTTCTATCTGTTAATAAGACAAAAAATATGCACCTTACCTTGTTATCAAGAAACCGGAAAGACCTCTGTGAAAACTTAGCTCTGACTGTAACAAAGCGTTGACACTGGGGACTTCTTCCAAAAAAAACTCCTCACAGAAACCTTTACCTTATTAACAGTTCACGTGGAGCATCTACCATGCAGTTTCCTGTGTTAGTTGTTACTATGGAAACGACTTACAACTTATTAGAACGAGCACGTTAATATAAATCTGCTGTTTGCCTAGCAGCCTGTCTGAGCTGCTGTTGTAGAAAATAACACCTCCTGACCAATCAGAATCGAGAACTTAACAGCGTGGTGGAACATTTATTTCTTACAATATTGACAATAACTAATTTTGTAATATTACAAAAATAAAGCAGTTTCAGTTGGCTATTTGGTACTCTGAGTATCAGTGGAGTTGGTCGATGTTGTAGGTGAACTGATCATACCAGAAATACATACGTATATGATATTCGTTTTCTATATTATAGTCAAAATTCCCACCTGTCCAAAGCTACTACCTCTTTTTTTACTACCTCTACATGTATACAGTATGAATCCAAGGACTGCCATTGAGATGCTCTTGCTGTTGTTTACCCATGAGCTTTCCATATGCTTGGACTGCATTCTTAGAGGTTATAGAATTCACTTTGGGTAAAAGCATCTAAATCTAGAGAAGGTGAAACTTCAGATATTCATATTTCAAAGCCATCATATTGCTGCTAGAAGCAGCATGAAGCCAAACCCTCCACAAGTCAGAGACAGGTGAAATTGTGTGATGTGAGATGGAGACACGGGCCCAGTGCATTAGTCTTCGTTCAGGCTCGTATTCAGCCATGTCAATATTGTCTGGACCACAGCTTATGCCGCCTTCTTCCTCCTCTCCACTCCATATTGACTCGGGACTGCAAAGCAAACACGTTGTGGCAACACTGACGTAACGCAAAGAGTTGAGAAATTGAGAGCTATAAGAAAAGGTGCTATCGGCTTTTCCAGTGTCGTCAGATGTTGAAAAGATGGGCAAGGACAGAGCAGAAGGAAGAAGATTGGCTAGATGGATGATTGTTGAAGTTTATTGAATGATGCACTCTTGCTACTCATGGGTGATTGTTGATTGTCGACAAGCCTGAACACAGCTTAGTTGTGCTGTGAGAATACATTCACCGCACCTTTGTGTGTGCATGCGTAAATAGAGTACTTGATGCAACTATGGCATACTCTGCAGGTGTGTCTCCATGCTCCTACCTTTCCTTTTCTAGTCTACTATTTCTTCCCTTTCCTATTTATATCCATTAGGTCACTGCGAGTTCACAGTTGTGCGAGACAATGTTTTGAATGTTTAATTGCTGTATTAGTTAAATAATTAAAATGTACAAATGTAAGGATTAACACCCCCCACCCTTCTCTCCCGCTTTCCATCCTTCCCCTTTTTTTCTGAATAATTAATCAACCCCATTCACCGGGAGATCTCTATGCACACCAGGATGTGTTTCGATGTCGAGCAACACCTAAATTTCTCTCCCTTCTCCTTCACAGACCGACAACTTCCCCACCGAGCCCAATTACATGGGGAGCAGGCAGCAGTTTGTTCAAAGGTAAGTCCTATTAAATTACTCGCTCAGCCATCACATATGCCCCCCATCACACACCCCCCCCCCCCCCCCCCCCCCCCCCCCCCCCCCCCCCCCCCCCCCCCTTTACTTTACCAGCGAGCGTATGTCTCAAATTAGAAACCATCCTCCGACCATTCTCAATTTCCCGTGTCATTTATTTACGCTGCTGTACTTTTTTTTTCCTTCTTTGAATTTCTCATCATGTAGCAGTTCCACGTTTAAGGACCCGGAGCGAGTGAGTCTGAGGGACAGTGGACATGGGGACAGTGACCAGGCCGACAGCGATCAGGACACCAATAAGGGCTCGTGCTGCGACATGTCCGCCAAAGAAGCACTGAAGATGAAGGCAACTGGACTCAAGCCTCAACCTCTTGAGCAGGGTGAGTCTCCATCAAACCTTAAATCTTAAGGTTTTTTTTTTATATATACATATGCAGTATTTAGTCTGTTTAAACTGAACCCTGGTGCAATAGCCTCCTTGGTGCAGTTAGCTTGGGAACAGACCAAAACAACTAGTCTAACTGGTCTGACACTGCTACAAGACTGGTTGGAGCCAACTGCAGGAATTTAACCAAACCTGCTGTGTATTTTATGTTGCGGGTGGATTTATTTATTTTTTTTTTAACATACTAGCTTTAACATTTTAAAGATACTAAGCTAAAAACAAGATGCAAAACAAGTGCCAGAAGATAGAGCTGGAGTTCTACAGAAGTAATATCTGGATATCTGAGGCACACACAAAAAAACACAAACATAAAAAAGAACACACAAAAAACATTTTACAAAATGGTGCTGTGTTTATGTATGCGTGTTGTTGTTGTTCTTTCGGCTGCTCCCGTTGGGCATCGCCACAGCGGATCATTTTGATTTGGCACAGTTTTTATGCCGGATGCCCTTCTTGACGTAACCCTTCCCAATTTTATCTGGGCTTGGGACCGGCACTGGGAGTGCTCTGTCTTGTGCATCCTCAGTAGCTGGGGTTGATTCCCTGGCCAGGAATCGAACCCGGACCCCGGCAGTGAAAGCGCCAAGGCCTAAGCACTAGTCCTCCAGTGGACCCTTGTGTATGCATGTTATTTATCCATGCTTGCTTGATTTCTATGATTTCTGATTTTTTTTTGTGGCCAGCTTAAATTTGAGCGCTGGGAAGCCGAATTGGACTAAATAGAAACCAAATTTACTTTGGTTCAAACTAGAAAAATGGACTAATAGATGAGAAAGTGCCCCAACTTAGCTGACTTCTTTGGGCTTCGTTTCTCAATACACCCCTCCCAATATCTTTTGTTCTTGGTTTAATAGGCGTTATTGGCATGATTGCTTTACAGACAACATTGCCAAAGCAATTACAAGTTGGTTCGACAATGTATAACGGACTGGATGCCAATACATAAACAACATTAATAATTTATTTTGGATCCCCCGCTATCTCTGATTCTCAGTTCAGTTTAGTGTGTTTCATTGGCCTGTCTGCTTTACAGGCAGCATTGCCAAAGCAATTACAAGTTGGTAGGCAATGCCATAACAAGATCCCAACATATGAATAACATAACAATTCATTTCCACTTTCTCAGTTTGCTCTTTGCATTTCCCCTCTAACCTTTTCCATTCTTCAATATTCACTGCCCCGTGTTGCTCTGCGTCTGTATTATTTATTGCTATTATATTGGACCGTCCTCTTTTTATTTATTTCCCCAATCTTTCTCTTTTTTGTTCTTTATTTGATCTGCCAAAGTATACGGCCGGTCTGACTTTCAAAGCCCCTTCTTTTCTCTGTTTTCTCTCTTCCTCTATACCCTTTCCAATCTTTCTTTTTTATCTCACACCCCAACCAATTCCGTTCTCTCATGTCTTACTCTGACTCTCTCTCCCTCATTCTTGTATTCCAGCACCGTTCTCAGTTTATCAAACCAGACAAGCCCATTATGATTTTATAAGCCAAACCACTTTAGCCTCTCCATTTAGTCCATGCTGGGGAAGCGCTGGGAGCGTGCTTCTTTATAACTTTCATAATGGAACATGGAAAGCGACTTATCGCACAGCAGGAGAAATTACGTGCTCAGCCTGATTAAATATGAATAATTATTCCCCGTTCCATGTCGGTAGGACAAATGACTAGTGACATTCGTTGAACAATTCCTTGGGCTCCACTGACAGATACAAAGTTGCATGTTCCGTGTGAGGAGGCTGAAGAATTATTTGCACTTGTTCATAAAAGAGGTTGTGTGCATCCATCCAGGGGCCTGCTGAGTCACATTTAAGACTATTATACCAGAGCTTTATCCATCAAAAGAGAATCCAAAACCAAAAACACATTGTGTGTGTGTGTGTGTGTGTGTTGGCAGTTAGAATAAATGGCCTGTAAAAAGCTATAAATCAAATATAACAGTACAATTAATCAATAGAACAGAAGGAATCTTGTGCTATCTGGGTTGAGACACTGGAGTACTATGCCATTGATGTCTGCCTCGATTTAACTGTGTGTGCTTTGTGTGTGTTTCATTGAGATTCAGGAAAGAAAAAAAAAAGTCTGAATGCACTGGCAAGAGAAATTGGCCAATTAAAGAGGCCCATATGTTTCTTATTTTTATGACAGTAGTCATTTAATGGTGCATGGGAATAGTTGAAAAATGGCTGAAATTTGCTATTTTAGCTGTGGGACTTACTCACATGTTCAGCAGAGCACTGTTGTCTCAATCTCTGTGTATGTGTATGTATGTGTATGTGTGTGTGTGTGTGTGTGTGTGATACCTGATGCCAGTGTAAATTGTTAGGATCACCGGTGAACAATGGCAAGCTCGCTCCCTTGTCCTGGAGTGGCACTACTACTTTTGATTTTGAAGTGCAGGCATCTGAACTGGTTTTTAAAAGGGCCTGGGCTTTGAAATGGAGATTACGCTGTTGTTATGAGGCGATGAGAGAGCAGTATAGCCATCATATTGCAAGCAAAGTGATCCATAATGCATTATGTTGCATTATTGCTGCGTGGTTTAAAGTGGAGTCTTACAGCTCTGTCTTGCAGCAAGCAGGGGGCAGTGTAGCGTGTGTGTGTGTGTGTGTGTGTGTGTGTGTTGGGGGGAGTGTGGGTGTAGGGACACAGTGCTTGTAGCGATTGTATTCTCATCATTGCTGGAATGCATTATCTGGGGAGGCCTTGAGGCTGGCTACAGCTGCTCGGACAGCGGAGAGGGTTTTAGTACATCTTTTCACTTCTCTAGCTTCCTTCTTTTCTCCTTTTCCACACTTCCCCTTTCCCCTCTGTCTTTTCATTCCTTTCCAATCCTTTGTCCTCTCTCCGTCCCTGTTTCTTTCTGAGAACAGATTCAGTAATAGATACTTCTGGACCTGTCTTTGAACAGTGCCTAATTAATGTCTTTACTTTTCTTGGTCATACATGCATGAATATTTGACATGATATGACTTTTTTTTTTGGTAAACACAATTTTAACAGAATTATACATGTCAATTATATAGTCAAGGCCTTGCAATAGACAGTCAGTTGTAGCTAAGGATATATATTTCTTAGATCTTCCCTTGGTCAATGCTTATTAAGTGATAAATCTTCAGTATCACAAAGGATTTAGCATTTAATACCATACTGACAGAGGATTTAACTCTTCCAGAGAGCTGAAGATTTATTCAGCTGCTGTGAGAAGGAAAAGGCTCAAACGGTCCACTTGAGCAGTCAGTAAAGCATACAGCAAGCCCAAAGCATGGACAGTTCATCCTGTCCATGTGTGTGTCCATGTTCACTCCTTGGGCCATGTTTATTAGGCAGTAATTCAGGCAGAGACAGAAAGAGAGAGCAGGCTTGAGGCTCTGCTGCACATAAATAAGCAACACTTCTCAGCAGAGTCTCTCTCTCTCTCTCTCTCTTTCTCTCTCTCTCTTTCTCTTTCTCTCTGTAGCTCTAGGCCTACACATGATCCACTCCAATTAGGGTGTACCTTACAGCATTTATTTAGTGGATTCTGGACAAAAACATGAAGTGAAACCAACCAAAGTGCAAGACCAGCATGAATACATCAACACATGCCTCTAGCCAGGTCCTTGCCCTGGTCAAAAAAAGAACAGATTGACAAACTGTACTGCTTAAAAGCATTTTTTTTTTTTTTTGTCTCCTGACACCATAAGCAAAACATTACCTTTTGGCCTCATTCAGGAATTAGCCTGGGTAAATCCCTTAGCCACTTAAGATATATAGACTTGACCCATGCAGGACTTTTGTTGTTTATTCTCAAATCTTCATGCCAGCATGCTATTACAAAAAAAATATATTTTTTAAGATAAATTAGTTAGGATCAAAAGTGACATTAAATTAGATTTCCAACCTATACCCATTTTCTACCACTATTCCTCAGGAGAAGTTAACATACACCAAATAGTTTGAGTAGTCCATAAATTACACAGTTGTCTACAGTGACCATGAGACATTGCTATAGTTATTTGTTTATAGCTCTCTCTCTCTCTCTCTCTCTCTCTCTCTCTCTTTCTCTTTCCCCATCTTCCACTGTCTCCTCTCCCTCTCATCTTACCATAATTGCATAATTGGATTAAACCCAAATTGCTCCAAGCACACACACTCGGTATTCCCCATCCTCACTGTCCACTGCATTAAAGACACATGCTTTCCTGTTTTCCATTTACGGTGTTACTCTGAAATTGATTAATTAAGCTCCCCAAATTGCGAACTGTGTATTAATTAAGCAGAAGTGTATCACAAGTTTTTCAGGGTTTTTTTTTTTTTTTGCCTGTGTCTATTAATTGGTGATTAATTGATACGAGGACTTGCCCAGAGCAGCGTCTAATCCTGGAACGTCTTCATCAGTGGTTCAGTTCTATTCCTGTCTATGGTGCGCGGCCACAGAGATGTGCGTGCGTGATAAAGTGTGTGTAAGTGTGTCTGAGATAGTGGGAGTGTGTGTGGAAGAGGAGGAGAGGTGGGGAGGCGGTTTCTTTAGATTGCTGGGTGAGTGTTCTGGATGACCTCCTCTAATTGCATTTGATTGAAGCGCGATAATCAAATTGCTTCCCCTTTTATTGTCCCTTCTCCTCTCTTTCATTCACCATACTGCCACGGTAACCTTAGCTTATTACAGAGTGACAGACAGAGAGAGAGAGAGAGAGAGAGAGAGAGAGAGAGAGAGAAGGATGGAATGTTAGCAGTAAAGGCAGGAACTGGGTAACATAGTGAGAGAGCTTCTGCCATTACTCATCTCCCCTTGTCTCTCTTGCTTATGTTATTTAATCAGAATCCCTGTAAACATATCAGCGTTTGGAGCAGAGAGATGTCATGCTGTATAAGACACACAGGCTCACCCACGGAGAGACTATTGTGCGGAGGCTACCTGAGAGCATTGGCTGATTGATTTGCAATGGCCGTAGCAATAAAGTGAATTGAGTATACTGGTGGGGGCTGGATTCTACAAAAGATGATTCACCTGGCCAGCTCTAGCGCTCAAATTTCAGAGCACTACAAGAAGCCCAGCATAATGTTCTTCTCGGATATCTTGACAAAGATTGGCTTTTGTTAGGATGCTTTATTGGTGTATGGATCACGTTACGGATCAAATACCCTACAAAATTATAACTTTTATGCCCAAATAAGGAGATCTATTGCCTTGCCAAGACAATGTGAAAAATGAGTAGGGCTTAAAATTTATGCCTTCGCCTACATCCAGTGGCAACGTATTATAGTTTTGCTGAAAGTATTTGGGTTTGATATGGATTCAGTGTTAAATCTGATATATAATATTTGGTCTTATTTTAGTCATTTGCTTGTTGTTAGTCAATGAAAACTCAAATTTCCACAATATTCTTTTAAAGCTTTGAAAACCCATTTGAAATGCATTAATTTCTCATGTTTCAGGTCTCTGTAAAGTATTCTGTCATACAGGATACTTAACAAAAGGACTTTGCAATTACTCACTTCCCAAAGCTTTTTTTTTTAATACGATTGGCTGAATAAAATTTCTGCAGTGGCTCAAACACTTAATAATGTTACTCTAGTGAACACATGCACACCTGTCACAAGTTTAGTAAATTCAGCATAGTGTTGTC